CAACTGATATAAATACTTAATATTTTTTTTGTAAATACATACATAATATACATAGAAAACACCCAGACCGATACAATCATACTCTTGAATACAAGTCCTTGCATCGTACCAGGAATCGAACCCGTGACCATCGGAAGGAAAGCGGTCAATATAATATAATTTGATGGTTGGTCGGCCATGAAATTATATTAATGAATACATTTATGTGTCATACAATATAGATGTATGTGTATTATTGTTGCATAAATAGTATTGTCACTACGCTAATTTCTGTCAATGCTCAAACGCGCGCTTCGGGGAACATTCCGATTACTTCCTATGTATTCAATGCCCTCTAACCACACAGTGTTGTTTATATTTCTAATGCAACATAAATGTATTTTATTATCTATAAAGGCTGTCGCCATATTATTCACCTTATTTTACTGTGTTCCAAATTACTTTTTGATATAATAAGAAAGCCTATTCGTGAGACAAGGGTCTATCCGTTATGTAAATTATAAACTACTTGTTGTTACCAGCGACATCATCCACTTTGTTTAGGATAAAAAGTAGCATATGTTCCTCCTCGTGATGCTTATTCATATCAAATTTGATAAGAAACCAATCAGTCGTTTTGTCATGAAAATAATTTATAATACTAGCACGGATTATGTTATTTCTCTTTACAAAGGTCTCCAACTGTTCCAAGCTGTCTGGTCAATATGATCTAGTAGGTTTTTCTTTTTAGACCATGACTAGCAAAACACATGGATTATTATAATGATAAAGCTAAAACCTGAACTTTGGATTTAAAAAGAACGTAGGCATTTGTTTATTAATGATAGTTTTATATTACAAAGGATTATAGTATATTTTTTCTACACTTTTCCAAATCATTGTTGGTAGATTTTGAGTATTCTCAAATGCCTATTCTCACAAACTGTGGTCATTAACCTTCTTAACTCTACCACCGACACTGCAACCACTGAGCCACTCTATAATATTGAAATAAGGCACGTCCTAGCTGTGTGACTAATTACGAGAATGATGAATACTTTTTTACCGCGATGTTGTAGTTTTTTTGATTAGACATTTTTCTATTTAGACAATTCTGTAGGAATTCCAATGTGTCCTAAGAGGAATAATTTAATTTGAGTATAAAGGAAAATGGGATATCGGTTTCTATAAAAAATATTGTCTATGTCTAATATGTTTTGATTTTCTTTGATTTTTCCTGCTTAATTTTGAATGTATTAGAATGCAATATTAGAATGCATATTACTTTAAAATTATTGGAGTTCTAATTAATTTATTGCTGTAACCAGCTATATGTAGATACCTGAGTAAAACCTTATTAGATTTCAAGTGGATGGCAGATGATGTGGCTGTGTAGATAAAAACATATATACTATATAATTTCATTAAGCCGATACATATCATACATATCTATTCATTAAGCCGATGAGCCGCAATATAGTTTTATGCTTAGTCTTCATTACGAGTGTAGAATTAGAATTATAAAAAAAGACAGTACAAAAATGCTTATTAATAATTATATCTGTTGTAATAAACTTTATGAACATTGTAATACTCAAGTATTTCATTGTAATAAAATTAAATAACCATTATTACAAATTACATACTATTTTTTATTCTGTTGGATACTAGGTCACTTAGTGACAAGATATACATAAAATTCCAAGGTTAATCAAAGTAGATTATACAATTGCTTTGCTTTTGTGTTCATGATTTATACGTATATATTAAATGTAGAGACATGTAAGAAGCCACAAGTTGACCTTGATAACTGCATTAGTACGATTTAGAAACTGGTCTTCATGTAAATATATCAAATTGTGGGCAAACATATTATAAACTTTAGTATTCGGTATATGCATATTACTTTAAACAGTCTCAAATAATCTCATTTCTTAAAAAATTTTGCAATAAACAGTATATTTCGAATTGTTGCTAGAAATATTAGTTATCCATTAGATTTTTATGGGGACGCTATTCACAATAAATAAATAAAACGATCCGAATCTTGCGGTACTATCATAATATAATGCTTTGAGAGTGCTTTTATTACTATATGTTATATAAATTTAATCTTATTTATTTATTGAAATAAAAACCATTATGGAAGCTATCAGAGTAATCACTCAACAAAATTGAATCTGTTTCACATTCTTTGAGTCACTCCTCCACCTATTATGTAAATAAGTAATTTTCTTTACTACTTTATTGTCTTTATTTTGCACGTTACTTTAACACATATGTAGTATGTATAATTATAACTACTTCATATATCCATCGGTAATTTAGTTCTATTTCTTTTGAGGTTTCTTTGATCTACGTATAATTAACATCAAAATCCACAAACAACAACACATATTAACAAATATAAATTAAGCAGCAATATAAGCAAATATAAATTAACAATTTTTATATAATTCTTTATTTTCTTGCCAGTTATTCTCAACAAAAAAGCACGCCGAACATAAGAATCGAATCATAAGAGTCGAATACGACTAAAGAAAATTTGATTTTGATACCAAAAAATGTTTTCCAATATTTTTATTATCTTAAAACTGTTAATACATAATTTGTAACAAATACCTACTTCATCTTTAATTAAACCTGTTAAGACATGTTCTATGACTGGATTGAGTAACTTCTGTTTATCTTCTCTTAAATCAACGACACAGCGAAGTTTTTTGCACAGCTGACAAAAGAAAATGTAAAATTAGTCATTACGTGATTTAAAAATCCGGTTCGACGGCACATTGTATATATTTTGGTAAGTTCTTCTGGTTTGCTCCTTACCTCCAAAGATTTGTAAGTATGTAGTTACGTACTATATATACTATAATAAGCCATTATATTTACCGTAATGGAAGCTTTGTGTATCTATCAATAGCTTTTTAATGACGTCGGGTCAATTTGCTCTGGAATAATTAAGTACGTATCTATTTAGGTACAATTAGTAATATGTTACTCATCATCAATCTATGTAGTTACATAATAGTTTAGATTAGACTACAGTGTATCTTTTATATATTGTTGTGTTAGAAGTAAAGAATGTAATTTTTATTTTATACCACGTTGGTGGCAAACAAGCATACGGCCCATCTGATGGTAAACGGTTACTGCAACTTATGGACACCTAAAACGCTAGAGGGCTGTCACGTGCATGTTGTCGAGCAATTCATTATCTTACTAATATTGTAAACGCGAAAGTTTGTGAATATGGGTAGATAAATGGGTGTTCGTTACACAAAAACTACTGAACGGATTTTGATGAAATTAAAAAACTTATACATCAGAACTCATACATAGGTTATAATTTAAAATTTAAATTGCTATAGTATACTGTAAATTTGGCGAAATATGCCCGCGGTTTGAACCACGTAAAATTTCAATATATAAATGTCAATAAAATATGCCTATGTCATTCTGATGAATATAGCTTATATTACTGTAAAGTTTCATCAAAATCCGTTCAGTGTATAATGAGAAATGTCAAGTAAGTGTGATGCAGACGTAGTCTAGTAGTGCTCGGGTCAGCTAGTTATTTATAATTATTATGGAGAAACATAGTGGAAATGTGGCATGGGTTGTAATATAGACTGACTTAATTTAGGTATAGAGAACGCTCTTTGTTTCTACTATGGTAAAAGTTAGATATTTATAAATAACTATAATATATTTGAAGTGCGGTTTAACAGTTATCTATTGATATGCATGAATTATGTCACATATTACATTCGCAAAGTCAAAGATGGATACGAAGGCACTACACACATAATAACACTCCGTACTAAGTATGCACGTCTGTATTCTACTTAGCAAATTCACTGGAACAATCACCGCATAGCGACATTTAGTTTGTTAAATATGTATTTGTGAATAAATACTGACTAAAAATATTATTATATATAAAAATATTAACTAAATTACAAATTAACAGTTAACTGCTTATTTCCGGATGCGGTACTAACTTATTACAGCTAAATTTGATTCATACATTAAAATAAAATAACTTTTTAGTAATAATTAAAAGCTTGTGTTTATGACCACGGAGAACATAACACATAAATAAGTAATAGGTGCGTTTACGACCAGGTTTGTCCATAAGCTAGTTGTAAAATCAAGAAAATCAACAAGCAGAATTAACAACTGAATTAACAATTCAAAATAACTTTAACGGTGGAATCTTTCGTCACGCGAGTCGTTCATTCAAGTTAAAGTTCATGTGACTAAGCATTTATGTATTCATGGTAGGCGCGGAAGTTCAAAAACCCCATATCTAACTCTTATTGGAAATATATGAATTATTTATATTTTCTCCACATCTTTCCTACATTTTTTAATTTTATTACCTCCTTGTTTTGACAGAATATATCGTGATGACAGCTTACAGAAAATACCACATAATTAACGGCTGACACATCGACGAAAAAATCAAAAAACGATTAAAGAAAGCATTGCCAGATCCAATGCCAATCCCGAAGCTCTTAGACTAATTAATTACCCACCTACTAAACTACTGCGGAGATCGTTATCTATAGTTTAATCAATGCAGTTGTATTACTATGTGATTCTAATACCGTCATTTGTAAAAGCTGTTAAATGCTATTGAATTGTGTTGCCGTACTTGGATGATCATTCAGATATTTTATTGCACACATTATGTGTAAATAAGCGAACTATTAAAGTTTTTAAGTTAATGGAAATAGAGAATACTTTTTAACAGGTGTAAGTATGTACTTCTTAATAGTGTCTTTATAAACATTCGTCGTCTAATAATGTGGACAATTATAATTTTAGATTTATTTAGACATTTATTAAAAATACTTAATCTATTATCACATTGTAGATACGCAATATATAATAAATACGTATTTAAAGCTTGTCATGCTATTATTATTAGTTAGCTTCGTATTTATTTTTTAAGAATTGTATTTGTCTCTACAAAAGGCCAATGTCACTTCATAACTGATCCGTTAATAATTTACCTTCCTACCGCATTTTTACATAACATCCTGTCTCCATTAATTATCACGTGCGCTTTCACATTACGATGACAATAAAGAATTATATCATAGCAATTTCTAATGACACAATTATATTTGTAGCATAAAATCGAAATTAATTGTTATTGACATTGAATGATATTATTAACACACAATTTTTGTTTATAAATAAAGCTTCACTGGTGAATGCGAAATCGGTTGCGCTGTGCGCTATGCGCACAAATGTCAAGAGAACAGCGCGGAGGATGTAGGTGTACGCCAACGCCGGCGACATTGACATCCGCACACGGCAGCAGGCGCGGCGGCACTGGCAGAAGTGGCCGTCAGCCGGCACCCGCCGCACATATCGACCTCTCGATACCACAATGTGCCCGAGTCTACCCGACATGAACATCCCGCAGTCCACTACTGCAAGCTCAGTGCTGCAGTGCAGCTTTATTTTTGGCAAGGCACCCCGATACTTAGCAAATCGCCGATTATGCGAAATGTGTACGCATCGAATTTGTGCCAACAAAGAGCACGCGACACGCAAGAGCTGAGCCACTGACCCCGATCTGAGCGATGCTCCGAGGCATTTTGAGTTTCATTATCGCCGACTTTTACAATTTCTCCCGCTGTACATGCACCGTTTTTTGTAAAAGCCGCAAACGTTTATAAATAATTATACGCATGCGTGGTAGAGACATCCAGCACCAGCTGAGCTGGCCTTGTGCTCTCATCCTATAACTATCTATGTATACGACCAGATGCCGCTGAGTGACCTTTGTCGCCGATCAAAGGTCCAAGGTCTGAAACAATAAAAACGTTATAGTAACTCAACATTGTTATCCAAAATATTACTTATTTGTTTACAGTTTCATTAATAAATAAATTATATCCAATGTTTTATATACTTACTACCAAAATTTGTAGGTTAAAATATTTCTTTTTTTCTAGGAAGTTTTATATTTTTTTATCATGAGTACTAACATTATTAATCCCGTATTCTAGAACATAAAATATTGTTAAACACCTATATTGTTATTGATTCCTTTATGACAAAGCATCTTTACTTGTTTGACCATTTAAACATTATATTAAATACACATAAACACATATAAAGACATCTTATTTTATTCCCGATCCGTCTCTCTATCAACTTCTTCAGCTCATGAAAATTTTTAATAATTACTCGACTATATTGAACATCAAATAAACTTTCTAATCAACGACACATAAGATCATAACGATCGATAAAGTAGATGAAGTTACCTCACTTATGAAATAAGTATGTTATGCATAATTATGTACGTAAGATAAACAATATTTTGGAATGTTTGTAAAACAAGTTTATGTTCTGATAAGCAATAGCTTGTCTTATTAAGCTTAAAGTATATTTAGATATTTTAGCGTTCCACAGTTGTTATATCACTGTTTGTTGAACCTCATTACTGTATTACGTAGGTAGTTAGTCACACATAGTTAAATACATTCTTAATTTCTTTGTGCTCATTCTCATACTTAGTACTTAGATACCATGAAGTTACATATACTTATATTATAATTATAAATTATGTAATTACTTACAAACTAAGTTAATATCTGCCATGTCGATTGTTCATTTGAATAATTAAAGTATAATAGTAAAAATAATGCATCTTGCTTTTGAGTTGTTAGTAATTACTACACCTACAATCACAGTCGGTAACTTACATTATTACATTTATATGTTATTAGTTAAAATATGTTGGTGTTCATTCTAAAATTGATATGTGATGTCATAATATTAGGCCAGGAGGGTGGGAGGTCCTAGATTTTATTTCCAAAGTTTGTGAATCACAGAACACCATGTTGTGAATCCTCCAATCACACGTATCATATATAATCATATACAGTGTCACATTTGATAACCGGGGGTGGGCCCTTTCCGTTACCGTGAGACGTCATTCTGTAATAGATTTTTTTTAAACGTTTGTATTTTAAGGGGTGCTTATGTTATAGAATCTTACTAATACCTATTATAAATGCGAAAGTTAGTCAGTATATATGTATGAATGCATGTTTGTTACTCTTTCACACAAAAAATACGGAATGGATTTTGATGAATCTTTAGAGTAATATACTTCAGTTTATACATCAGAATAATAGGCTATCAGTTAAAAATATATTATGTAAATTGTGCGACATATAATGATACATGTTAAGTCGTGTAAGACAATGTAAGTGCGATGCAGAAGAAGTTGCGCGGATCAACATGTAAATCTATATTCCAAATTTCCTCTAGATTTAGTACTTTTCACTGTCCACTGTCCACTGTCCACATACTTAATTTTATAAATTACGTGTAGATTATTTAATATGTACAGAACTATTATAAAAAAGTTAATACAAAATTATTAAAAAAACTCTATAATATTATGATGTCTAAAATAAATCAATTCACTATATATGACATTACGTATAAAAAGTAAGGCTAATTGGAAAAATTTTCCTTTCTAGAAGTCAGGTAAAAAGGTATTAGGAACTTCGTACTTTCTCTTCAGTTTCTACGGTTAACTTGTCGACATAGGTAGGTAGTTTGGTACATTCATACTAAGTTGTTTCCAGCCATTGAACTTATGAATAACTTTCTCATCAATGAACATGAATTAAGACAATAAATTGACAACTCTTAGTTAAGGTTAAGTTAAATAATAACATTTTCGCGAAGTTGAAGACATAATTGATATCGAACATTTCAATTACCGTAGCGACAAAACTCAGCTAATTGATCAAATTTTTTATCGATAATTATGAAATAGTGCTCCCGATTGCACTGATTGTATATACCTGTGAAGGATGTTAGAATGAGCTAGGGTTAGGGTTTGATCTAATAATCAAACCATTTCGCGTCATCCGTAATAATTATCAAGTAGAGAACTAAGAACTAATATAGAGACTCCAGTCAAGCTGTTGAAAACAAATAGTAAAGTATACTTTATAGAAATTTTACAAACGTTCATTCCTTAAAAATATAGTGACTATATATATTTATATTTTGTATGCTTACATATTTAATTTAATATAATATACTGGGAAATTATCATTATTTACCTATTTTTTTACATGAAATTTAACACAATAAGGTATTCACCTTCAGAGAGAATCCAGAGAAAAATTCTGAAAATCGCTATTACAGTCCTGTATCGCATGTAAAAACTCTCCTGAATTATTGATCAAACTTATGATTTCGTAGTGGGTCTGGCCAGTCAGGTGGGTGCTTCCTTTAATATGGTTGAATACAATGGCTTATCCGTCACAGATTTAACGGGTGTTGTTTATGGAGACTAGTCTTTTCAAGTATTATCTTTATTTTGTGAAAATTAAGAGCATGTGGTAATGGTTACTATGTTCATGCTAACCTGAGTACAAATAATATGTATAATTACGTTTGAAAATAATATCGATGTTTCTATCACAGAAGAATTAGTCAAAAATATAAATTGACAAACGTTTTCATAATAAATAATTTATATGAAATATCAGTACTACTCGTATAATTTATGAGTCAATGCTTGATGTTACTTTTTATATGAAGCCGAATGTACAGAATAGTACAAAAACAAGGTTATTACTTAAATACAAGCAGTGAACGAAAGCATATGTAAATGACAGAATTATATTTATATGTACATATGTTGAACATTAAACAGAGACAGGAGGCGACAACGCGACGCTTCACCATTTCGACAATCAACGACAAAGGAAGTGCCATTTAAAGTAACTATTTTAAACTGTCCAGCCCACGGTCGCTTGCTAGCTAATCGCTGTCGTGAAGGTCCATTTGTTGCTATTTTTGTACTTAATAATGCTCTGCTATTCGTACTGAATAGAAAGACTACAATAGAACATAAGTTTAGCTTGGTAATAGCATTTTAATTCATACCTCCCTTTAATTGACAGAATGAGGGGTTGGATTACAACGGAAATCGAAATTACGACGCCCTTAGCCGAGGTTGGAACTGCTAGCGGTAACGTCATGCTAAAGTCTTATTCGTCAGGTAGGAGTTGCTCCGTAAGTCCTCCCGCGGCTTAAAAGTGGCCGAGCACTCGCCTCCCATTTTGTCCGCTTCGAAGGTTTATTTCCAGTAACTTCCAACAATTATATTTACTGTTATGAACAATATGTAAAAATTTTGATTCATAAATTAACGAATTTGATATGAAATTGTATACACCGTTGTTACCCAATAGACGCTTTCAATGCGTCTGGTAGGATGATAGAACCAACAAAACTGGGAAACACAATTTTATAGTTCTCTGAATAATATATATAAACTTCAGCTTTAATAAAATAACGTAAGTATATTTATAAAATAATACAGTTTAGGGGTGTCCGGCGGGGGGGTTGGAACCATACTGGTGTCTGGCAATGAGCACTGCAAGGTATAATACTGTTACGAGCAATATGTGAAAAAATTGAGTTTCATAAATTAACGAATTTGATATAAAATTGTATATACCGTTGTTACCCATATACGCTTTCACTGTGTCTGGTAGGATGATAGAATCAACAAAACTGTATTGCAATTAAGGAATCACAGTTTAAGAGTTCTCTGAATAATCGTCCGGTTCGAAGATTTATTTCAAGTAATTACATTTGCAACCTAGATACAGTCTTCCATCTGTACTTAGGTTGCAAATGTAATTATAAGGTTTTAAATTTTACTCTTATAAATAGCATAAATTATTTTCAAAATGTGACTACCAATTTTTGTATGTAGATGTAGGTACCTACATAGTACGTCTTACTTCAGAAGTCATTATTACTTTATAATTTACTTATTTTAAAGTAGTAATGAGTTTTGAAGTCACTGCCAATTCAGTGTAATACTATATCACTTTTATTGTAAATTCTGAATCTTATTTAAGCCTCCAAACTAACTTGCTTTGTAAAATATTTCGGTACAATTACAGGATTATCAATCAGATGTCGTATCTAAATGGACACCGTTTAGACGACCGCGTAACTTATAACAAATCACACTTAATGAATGTACCTATATTACTTTGTTTAATTCCGCTACCATTAGCATGTGCAAGACCACAAATATTCAGTGCGGAAACTAGACTACCGTTACTGGAATCATTACAAACTTTATTGGTGCTCAAGTTCCAACCGTTATTGAAACTACCCAAATTGCGACACGTGTTTCGCCTCTGAACGAGACATCATCAGGCATTAAATTGAATTCCGATATAGCTTGGAAGGATAGTGTTGACTGATCGGCGAACAAATTGCTCTACTTCTAATATTTTTTATGAAATAAACTACATATACCTAAAAATAGATTTTTGCTAAATAAAAAGACGAAAGACCCTAAGCTATATAAGTATCTGTGTATAGTTGGCAGAACAAATAGATCTTAGAGGTGCCAGTATTAATTTACTAGCTACGGTGAGGTGAAACCCTTGTTACTCGGGAGACAGGCAAATTGTAACTTACATATATATCTGTATACAAGTTTTGTGCTTTTTGTCCATAGGTAGGTACTACATAGTATTATTAACTCTCTGAAAGAATTTTTATTCCAGCCAATTTTATGAGAAATATACAAACAGAGAAGTTTTAGTCTCGTCACGATTTAACAATTTTACTATTTACTAGGCATCCGGCCCGGCTTCGCACGGATGCATTACAAATCTTTGAATTTCTCTGCTCGTGTTATACTATTTGTTCTATACACGTATATATCTTATTAATATTATAAACGAGAAGGTTTGTGAGTATAGATATATAGATGATTGTTACTTTTTCACGCAAAAACTACAGAACGGACATACATCAGAATAACATATAGGCTATAAATTTATACAGTTACACATATAAACTTTTCTCTAATAATCGAATCTATCTAATCTTCCTAAATCACTCTATCTATTGCGGAAAATTAAACATACAAAGATACTTACTTAGGTACTTAAGCTAACGGACAGCGGCGCCAACTTATTCTACGTAAAGATTGTATGTAAAAATAATAAAGAAAATAGTCAGTATATTATGTTCTGGATTATATAAGTTGTCCAGTTATATATACTAATATATAACTAAAGTACGAAATAAGTAAAGTACCTACATATTTTTTACCAATTTTGGGCACAGACAATAATATTCTTTATCTATGGATTACATGTACGAAGTAATTTCTTAATTAGTCGACTAAATGAAAAATATATTTTTTCTTTTATTCTAACTAATAACAATAGTATATATGTAGGTATATATATATATAAAGTGCATACTAAGTTTACATTTCAGTTACGTTAAAAGAACATCTACACTTTCGAATGATGTCTTGTTAAAGAATATCAATGCCAACGTCATTGTATATGCTGTCTATTTCTACTTCCATTAATGTCAAATAAGCGCGGGATGTGGTGGTTTTGTAATAGTTTATTTGTTATTATTTTTTTAATATAAGTATGTATTTGTAATAACCAACAGAAATAAAAATTAAGAGTAACATATAAACTAATTAGAATTTAAATTGTATTTATTCTGTGTTGTTAAAAATGTTGCAAATTCCTGATAATGTTCGACAAGATCTAGTGAGGTTGGTACCGGCTTCTATAATTAATGATATTGCCTGTTTTGTATATTATGATAACCATCCTAGAGATGATAATCGTATTGATGTAATAATTTGTACAAATTCTGGTGAAATAAAAGAATTATACCAACGAGAAATAATTAAAGAAGCATTTTTCAATTGCAAATCAAAACCTACGGAAATCAAAATACTCAGAAACAACGCTTGTGAAATATACTATTTAGTAGCAGTTGATGATAGTGTGATAATTTTCAAAAGAAGCAATTGTTTGGTTGTTCACCGGATAGTGAATAATGTCGAGCGATACGATATAGAGGATTCAACTTGCTTAGGCCAAGCAAGTTTAAAAATTATTTGTAAAGATGATGCTGTGCCTATGATCTTTGATGACAAGTTTGAAAGTCTTGGTGATCGAGCTTTATTGCTCTCAAGCATACATGCTGAAGAGACTTTGCCTATCATAACTGAACTGAACCGGAAATTAATTGAAACTAAATATATTGTAAAATGTAATGAAAATGTACACACAGAACTACTAAATTTACGCCAATTAACCGCATTAATGATGTATCAAAAAATTAACCCAAATTTGGATGAATCTGTATTCAAGAGCGGGTCTAAAGATGTAAGTATTAATTATGACTTTAAATATTTAATTGGTATTATATTCTACAGTTAACAGATGGTCTCTTATTTAGTTTTTGTGTTTATGTTTCAGATGGCAGGTGCATTTAAGATTAAAACATGTACACCATGGATTAAAATGTGTAATAAGAATATTATCATTATATTTGAAATTATAAATAACAATGAAGAGTAAGTATTTTTTTCTAATAGCTATTTATAAACATTGCAAGTTAAATATTTGAACACATAACATTCATGGTTTCATGGATAGTGCAGACAAAATTGTCTGCAATCCTCATGAAACCATTCTTCACTGCTCTGCAACTAGAAACATTACTTTGATTACATGACAACATCCTGCTGATGTTATAAATGCAAAAGTTTGTATGAATGTATGTGTGCACTATTTTTTATATTATATTCATTTGATATTTTGTGGATCTACATTAACATCCCTAAATATGACTAGCATTTATACATATGTGATGTAACATGAACTAGTGAATGGTACTTCAACAAAAACATCATAAGTGGAGTTATTAAATGGAATTATTTACTTTACTGCATTTATATGTCATTTTACTGTCAATAACTTAACTAATGTTATATTAGTTATTTTATTGTTAAATCTTTATATTTTTTAATGTAACCAAGTTATTTATTGTGTGTTTTTCAGACTTATGGAAAATGTGCATATTCTGCTACATTCTACAAGTAGACCATCTCTTGTTTATACCACAAAATTATTTGAAAGAATAAATTATGAACCATTTTGGTTGGAAAGTAAAATGCAAATTGTTAAAACTAATAAGGAGTTTGCAGTTGTTGCTGTAATAGATGTAAAGGAAATCAAGGATAATGATACAAGTCGTATCGACATCAGTGGTGCGATGGTGTATAAGAGAGAAGGAAAGGAACATATCCTGCCTTTTGACTGTGTCTCTATATCTGCCTTGGATGCCATGGGAGAACAGTTTGATGTTCTTTCTAGTCATACTCTAGGTATTTTGTTATGATATATTTTATTTAATTTCAATATGTTATGTTAATTATAGCTATTGCATTTTAAAAAACAAGTGGCTTACCAGATGTTAGAATATAAGTACCTACTTATATCTCTGTGAAAACTTTTCTGAACTAGACTAAAACACTTCTGCTTCTTTTTACCTTGGATAGAAATCAACAGCTGCTGTTCTTAATAGACTATTACTAATTTTATAAATGATACCATTTGATACTGTGAGTGTATACTTATATTGAAACTAGCTGGTCCTGCGACTTTGTCTGCATGGATTTTAACTTTATTTTTTTTAAATAAAAGTAGCCTAAGTTACTCCTTATTACATTAGCTACCTTCCAAAAACAGTTCCGTCAAAATCGGTCCAGCCTTTTCAGAGATTAGCCGGAACAAACAGACTGACAGATAGACAAAAATTTAAAAAAATGTTAATTTGGTTTATGTACCCTATTTATATGCATGTAGTAAAAGACGGTTATTTCAATATTGCAAACAGTCACACCAATTTTATTTATATGTATAGATGGTATGCCCAATTTCAATATTTTCACTTTCCTTCACCATTGTTTGCTAATCATTATTCTTACTTTTAAGACTTGTTTGGGTAAACAGAAGTAGTGTATTATTAGACTGATGCTACATATATAAAGATTTAAGAATTACTTATTTAATATTTTTGCATATTGTATTGTTATTTCCAATAAACAGCTGTTTTAATAAAATCTATTGATGTTATAAATCATTATCATTTCAGACTACTATGCTGTATTATCAATATTGTCAACAACACAAAAATTTGATTTAATATTGCGTTACATTAAGGCAGATGAAGAACCAGAATTGAGTATGCCAGATACATTTTGTGCATTCCTGGGCATGGAGCAAATACAAAATGCATCAAATGTTATTGTACATAGAAGTTCTCCATACCATATCCTCAATAGTGTTATGGTTGTTTTTCCAACTGAAAAGAAGTGTATACAGCAATATGGTTATGATTTCACAGTTTATGCAAGGTATTACTATACATATATTTTTAATGTAATTTGAATGGCTTTCAAGTTGGTACAAAGTGGTATGGCTAATAATACCACTCATGCATTACCATTTCAGAGCATTATGATGTCATGCCTCTTTCTCCTTAAATTTCACTGTATAATCTGACCCTAAAACAGCTCACAATGCAAGTTTCTTGGTAGCTGAAATAGATGAAACTGAGTTATCCAGGTAGATGACTTTTTATAGCCTACCTTGGTAATAGAATATATATTTTTACTAGGATGTGTAGTAATCATACTCCATTTATAAATATTATATTTAGGATTTTATTTTAGTAAAAAGAAAGTAATGGGTGTTTGTTGATTTGTTGTAATTTTAGTTTTTCAATCATTGCTTTGACATAAAATACCCTAATTATAAAAGAATATTAAAAATGAATTGCCAATTGTTTGGCACGGCACTTAGCAAACCCATGTGCTAGTAAGCGCATTCATTAGAATGTTTGGAATAAGAATATTTATTTTAATATTATTACAACAGCATTGATAGTGGACATGCTTCTGACTACCCCATTAATATAACAGTGGTGACAGTATGTTTGTGTTTAATTTCTATTTTATTCAAGTTGGTGCCATTAGCTCTGTTTACCTGTATGCAGCAGCACCAATTACTATTTGTTTGAAGTCTGCAGAAAGCTCAATAACATTTTACCGGGATATCAAATAGACTATTGATTTAATAGTTTTGATATTGTTATTAATTTATTTTAAATAATGATATGAGACTGTTAATTTGTTTTTTGGTAAGGAAGAGTGTTTTTAAATGAAACTTGTGTGACCTCTTCTCATAAAGTGTTTATTGCAAGAATCTTTAAGTTTAAATTACATAGGGGTGGAGTTTCCACCCTTTTTATTGTTGCTCTTATGTGTCGCGTGATGAGCGGTGATTCTCACTGGTCGATTGTGTGATGCCGTCATCGACGCAATGTTTGACGTCGACCAGTGGTGGTTGAGGATGGAGCCTGTGCATGAGCATTATATTGCTCACTCATAGCAGATTTGCTACTACTGTTTTAACAGAGACAAACATTGATATGTGCTTTTAGTACACTTCTTTTCTATTATGATTAATTCTAATATGATGAAATTTTATCTTTTCCAGGTCACCTGATCAAATAATATCTCTTATACATTTTATCCATGATGCAATACCCTACAAAATCATAATAACTACTCATGAACACAGAATAATTGCTAAAACTGATGAGTTGGCTAAGTATAACGAGGCATTATTTGTTAAAGATTCCCAAAAATCGGGTTACATGGAATATGCTTCTGCTATGTTGAATCAAACTAGTCTGTTGTTAGAACATCTTGATGGTTGTATGGTAAAAATGAATGAAACCAAAATACCAGAAGTACAACAGAAGATTGGAAAGGAAATTGATGTTTTAGCTATGGGTACCTCCAATTTTCTAGAGTTAAGAAAAAATATGCTAGAAGAAGAGAACAGGGGAATAGGGCATTTAAGGAATCGTGCTAAGTCTGTTTCAGATTCTGATTCTGAAGATATGGCAGTTGATTTAAGTCATTAATTAAGAATATGTGATTATTAGACTCATATGTAAATGGCTAATTCAACACGTAGATTACAGGGTAAAGAGGCATAAAATCTTAGTTCTCCAGAATGGCAACGCAAGACTGGTATTATGGACGTCTTAGGATGACTTGTTGTTCATTTCGTATATGCATATAATGGAGTGTCGCCACATACTACAAAAAAACATTACCACCATATCATTTATATAATCAAGTATCTTGATCTCCACATTTGTGATTTATATATGTGATATTTACATATTTTTTTAAAGTTTGCTGTGTTACAATTTAATATGAAGTTATCATAAAATTAAAATACCATATAAATTATTACCACGTATTTATTTCTGTTTCTCATTTGAAAATATGCCTTCTAATGATGATGGTAATTCTAAACAATACATTTAAATTAGATTATATGACCAAACTTAGTAGTGTCATTGTTATTCAAGAATTACCAATATCACAAAAAAAGCATCTGTTACACATTCCATATATCTATTATTGTATAAATATTGTATTTTTCTTATATATATAACACTTTCGTATTGGTCCTATGATACTTTAGTAGCCATTGGAGATTGGTTTTGTAGGATATTTTTTGAGACAAACCTTTGGAAAGTACAATTTTCATTTATTTTATTATTAATTTTATTACCGGCTATAATATTATTAATTAATTAGTAGAGAAAAATGATGTTTTAAGGGTGTATATACTCACTAAGATTGATACGCCTTTATTTTATAGTAAACTATAACTTAGCAGTGACAATTGGCATTAACTAACTTTTGGCAGGTACTCTAAGCCAAAATGTTAAAAAAATTGTAGATTATAAGATTCTCAGTAAATACATTGTTTATTACATGAAGAGGGAGTGTGTACTTTATATGTATATGGATTAATTTATGTATATTACAAAAGTCTAGGTATCATATGAAAATATGAAAATCGTAAGACTGTTTATTAAGTAAATATAAGATGTAGGTATAAATTATAAAGCGAGTATAGTACTTATTAAATTTCTATCTAGGATATTTAAATTTTATATGTAAATCTAACGAAATATATTATTTTACCTAATAATTATTGAGCATTTATTTATATTATTATCTAATAGTTTATAAATTATAATAACATGAACAATATGTAAAAAAATAGGCGTAGCTAGAATATTATTGAGAAGGGAATGGGTAGTGGATAGGAAAGAAAAATTTAGTTTCTTTTTATTTTCCCCCATAATACTTAACAATATATGTTATCGTTATAAAATCGTATTTTCAGAATAAAAAGTATTCCTGGCTACGTCTATGAAAATAACACGTGGTTGTAATAATAAATAAATAAAATTAAAAACTTATTTAACAAAGTAAGGAATAAAGAAATCTTTTAGAATCTACAAATAACCTGTATTATTTATTAACTAATTAGCACCGTTTCATCAGCTACATTATGCATACTGTTTACAAAATATATATGGAAACTGCATAATTAATTCGTATATTTAATGTGAAGATATATTATAAGAAATAATGACACAACTTATCGATACCTGAAAAGCAGTTACATATGATAGTTCCGTATGATCAGGTTCATAGACCGTAATAACTTTTTATTTAGTTTTTATTAGATTATCTAGTTATTACACTATTATATTTAATTTTTTTTTTCAATTTTACAGATTTATTACGGAATATTAATAGTAATAATCTTTTTAGTACATATATTTACCTATTACAGGCATCCTGATGATTGCACATGTTTATAAATCAGTAGGTTTAAAAAAATCTATCACAAAATATTCCGTTTTATAATGAATAATACTATACACAACCTTGATAACGTGCTACTTGTTCAATAAAAAATAATTCTATGCCTAATAGTATAATAACATCACCAGGGTGGGATTAAATAATGCCCCTGTAATCCCCATCAAGGTGAAAATGTTTTAACACAATATTCTAATAATAAAAGTAGTTTTTATTGCATTTGTATCATAAAGTAGATATAATTAATATTCAATATCAAAAATATTTACTTCCCAGCTAGCTTTTTTACCCTGTATAGGTATGACTATATTTTGGTATTATATTAATGCATATGATACTATATAAACATGTATTAGTATGTATAAATACTTAAATTAACAAGTAGATATTTCACCACAACCGAAAGAGGAACCCTGACTGTTGGTAACAAACAATCAGTCCATTCTCCTATGCCTGTAATCTCGTAAGTCAATATTGTTATTGAGTACAATCAATGATTATTGTTTTACGGAAGTTAAGTGATATATATATATAAATATACATTTTAAAATAAACACTTAACAAATACACACACTAGCCTTCTCTATTAGTGTTTTGTTTAGTCGTATCCTGGTCGCCGAACAGTCAACACTAGACTTACAAGCTATATCGTACCTCTATTTATTGTCCTAAGAAGCTTCGTTCAGAGGCGAAACTCATGTCGTAATGTTGGTGTAGATTCAGTGACGGTCGGAGTCAGATAATAGAGAAGGTAGTAATGCATCCAGTAGAGGCGGTCAAGTTTCTGCAATTAAACAAATGGATCTCTGCAAAATAACACCTAATTTGATAAAAAGATTGTTTGTTCCCAACCAACGTCGAATGCCAAAACCATATTAACCTGTGCTCTAACAGAGGGCGCCTGCTAAAAACAGTAAATGAAATCCCTTTGGAGCACTTACATTGTCAGGTACTAGGAAGCCTAATTATGCCGCCTGACTCTTCATTAGGTATTTACATATAATTATAATAATAAACTAAACAAAAACAATAATATAGCACAATAACAGATTATTTTATAGAACTTAATTAATATTTTAAGTGAGTACTGTTGCTAATATTATGAACCTGTGGTTTATTTTATACTAAACTATACTACAATTGCATTGCACGTCCGGCCATTTGTTATTTATATGCTACGATTATGTATTACCTATTTATCTTATACAATATTATTATAATGTTATCCTTGATATAGAGGTATGGAACACTTACTTATTATAACTAGTATTATTGTAAAAATATATATACACGAATTTTATTGCACATATCATATTGCACATAGTTTGTTAAATTTATTGCACTATTTTTTAAAGTATAAATGGTCTCTTTATATAGAATCTTTAGAACGTTTAATTTTTTTACCACTGCCTTTTTCACTTTTTACGTCATTCCCATTGTTGTTTTCAATATTTATTTGGAGTTTTCTAAAACTACCAAAATAAACTGAATGTGTTTCTATACTTTCGGCACCAGATTCACTTCTAGCTTCATTTTCAGTCTCATCACTTTCACTACAACTAACCGTTTTAGGAGTAACAATATTTTTTTTCTGAACCTGTTGTCTCGAACTCATAGAATCACTGCTTAAATATCCACAATCTTCTGTACTTTTACCTTTTTTTCTTTTAAAACGTGGCTTTGATTGTATCTCTTCCTTTGATCCCCTTACAAAAGTATTAGAATTAATGCCACAACTACTACTGCGCCCTGATGGTCTGCTATTTGAATTCCTGCAAAAGTCATCACTTTTTTTATTTGTTACTTCCATTTTTTCATGCTCCGACAATTGTAATGGGTCAGAAGCTCTCAGTAGACTGTCGGAAGGTGCAATATCTAGTTTTTGAGGTATAGAATTTGCGTTACTCGATAAGGAGTCGGTTGTGATATTACTAATTATTCTTGGGTTGAGGGTTCTGTTACTCACGTTTTTTGATTGTGATCTAGAATGTGTTTCGATTTCGACTTTCCGTGGCGGGTAAGCTGGTTGTTCATAAATTGGATTGTCTTCTGTAGGCGGTAAAGGAGGAAGAATGTCTGGTCGTGCTAAACTCTTTAGTTGTTTAATTGTGGGTGGTGTACATTGGCGTTGTCTTTTAGAATGTCTCAGTTCCAAGGTTAATATGCGCCCCTCTTCTGTGGCCCAATCTTCGAGATCTTCAATAGTCTTTTCCGTCTCATCTAAACTTTTTGGTCCACTAAACGCATTTGTTACTAACTTCGTACGCTCGTGACCATTTTTGCGATTTTCATATTCATTTCTCAAGCTATTAAATTTTGGCTTATTTTCTGCCTTTTGATTTGGTTTTTTAAAAGTACCACTGCTTCTTAGTTGTATTCTTTGATTGGATGAAGAAGTCTTGTTCTCTTCATTATTTAAGAAATGGTTCTTGTTACACTGAATATTATCTACAATTTGTTTATGTTTTGGATGCTTTCTGTCAAGTGTGTCAGGCTCAAAACCATCGGATTCATGTATTTTAATATAATTTTCAGGTGGATCTACAACTTCTATAGTTAAGCAGCCTGGTTTACCTTCAATATGATTATTGATTTTTGAAACCAATTTTCTACTTCCCATAGAACAATCAGAACCACTTGGTGAGGTAGGTGTACTACCAAAATTATAATTATTATTAACGTATACTTCACTTACTAAACTATAATCATTCTTTTGATTAATATTGGTATTACTATGTTTACCGTTAGTTTTTGTTTTTATTTTTTCAATTGTTTCGTAATGGTTTTGATCAATTCCTACATCTCTTTGTGGAGATGGAGTGTTGCTGTTACTACTGGAATGTGTTTTATATACGGCATTCCTCATGGTGAGTTCCTCTTCAAGTGGTAATGCGTTGCTTAAACTGGGACTAGCTTGTGAAGAAGGAATTTCAATATAATCAGTAGGTGTTGATATCCTTTTTTGTACTGAAGTTCTTTCAAGACTGTCTGTTTCGTAATCGTTGCCGTTGGGGCTATCACAATTTCGTTTGGGAAGGACATTGGTTTTGGCACTATTAGAAGTTTTATCATTAAATCTTTCCTCGTCTGAACTACTATGATTATAACTTTTTGAACAATCATCCAAAGTATCGTTGACCATATCCGGTAATGAATTTTTATTTGTCATAAATCTATTTCGTCGTTGATTAGCTAGAGCATTATTTCTCAAGCTACCTGTGCGATAATCAGTCTGATTGTGATGTTTAATATTATCCATACACGAAACAGATTGGCCATATTGGTTATATTTATGCTGACACTCTGTACTATTGAATTCAGGAAGAGGGATATTATAGTTTCTAAGTGCTGGTTCAGATTTAACGGATATATTAGACATAGAAGAATGTTTACGCAGGGACGTATCTTTCTGATGAATAGATTCAGCATTTGAAAAACTATTCTGTTTTCGTATTTTGTGTCTGTCAGTAACTGGAAGCGCTATAATAAATTCGCTTTGATGTGTTTGTTGCTTTCCTGTTGGTATATTTTCGAGCCACTTTCGAATGCTATTTTGTTTATCACCTTTGCCTCGCATACAGTTCATACAAGAAGGCATGTCATATTTCAGTAAGTTCTGTATATCACTTCCATTATTAGTTTTGCAACCGGGACAACCTATACAGTTTGCAGTTTTCTTTCTACTATTTTCTCTCTTAAGACTAATGGCACTTCCGCTTCTTTGACTACCAAGACCTTGATATATATCTATGCTGTTTCCAATAGACGTGTAAGTTTCTTCTTCGGGTATATGATTTAGAATTGGTTGAAAGCGTTTAGCTGCCATTTTGTGTTTGGCAATAGCTATTACTTCTCTAATTTTTACTAGGAACTCTAATGCAGCAGCTGGAGGTTCCTGAAAATATTAAAATTATAAATTTCATTATAATCCACTTCAAATTTACAAGGAATATATATTAATAATATTAGTCCTTACCGCCATCAACTGTGGGTCAAAATAAGCCGGATTAAAATAAAGTTTACGTCGAGTAGTGCCAACTGGTCGTGCAATCTCTCGATCTTCTGTCGTTTCCACAATAGAAACATGTTCATCTGGAAGCCGTTCAATATTTGATTCGTCTCGATGATTAAATTCAGCAGTATCAGTTTTAGGTGTTATCTCATCATGATGTACTACTGCTGACGTTATTTGGTTCTGAAATATATTGATATATTAATTAATATAGTATATTACTTAAATTTTATGTAACATTTATTCGTAATTTATAAAATAAAACGTATTAATTAACTTACATTAAATACGTGATCTTCACTTTTAACACTACTGTCACCAAAATCTTCAGAATCAGATATGTTACTTCCCGAGTCACTAGGAAAACTTTTTACTTCATGAAACTGTCTGGGTATGTTTAAGAGAGGGTTTTTCTTGACTATTCCATTATCTTGACCTAGAGTACTAGGTAAGGATTGAATGATTTCGTTTTTTACACGAACGATATCACGTTCGGTTATTATAGATCCATCTTTCTTTTTTATGCCCTTTAATCTGTTAATAGTGCCTTCATTAGAAGCTGCTCTTCGACGTTTGCGAATGTGCAGATATAGAAAAACTGAAGCAACATAAATGAGTCCAAGCAGAAGCGAGCTGATGCCAATAGCGACATATTCTGTAATACTAAGTCCTGATGTGTTTGATCCTTCCGACGTATGTGCATTGGGTGCGAACTGGACTTCAGTAACATCTGGAAATATGGAGCAAAATTGCTTTCTATACAATTATATAATAATAAAAAAAACTCTTTATTGCACACAGAAAAAAAATTATCGCGTATAAGAATTTTAGGGTAAGTGTGAGATAATGGTACATATTGTCTGAACAAAATTTCGTTTCCAGTTTAACTTTTTATAATTTAAATGAAAGCAAAATATTATACAGTGTGAGGGGTGGGGCATTATGTATCTATATTGAATATACTAACTTTTATCATCGTGTAGTTTAATATTGCGAGTCTAGTAGAGCCCGGTTCGCTCATTTATTAGTTGTAGTAGTTGACTTAGATGGAAGTATTTTGATCGCCCTAGTGATCGTTGATTAATTTCTACTAACTTTGAATTATTTTAATATTTAATACGATTGATGAATTGTTGGTTATATTTATATAAATTAACATACTGGATGCAGACATAGGCGGTGATCCTTGAACTTTGAAGGCGACACAGGGTGTGAACACGCCACGTAGATCGAGCGGCGAGGATGGCGGAGATGCCACGTCACGGCACAGCAATCGCACCACTATGACGCGGCCCGTCATACGACCACGTACATCGTCTTCGCCGCTCCACTGGAAACCCATAAAATGGTTTAAAATCTTGGAACAAAGCATATTTTAGTACTTTTTAAAGCTAATATTGCATTTTCAGGCAGTCTTTGTAAAAAATCTCATACATTGTAAAAATCTCAAATCTGCGTGCGTACCAACACCTGTCTACATATTTAAGTTTAACTCGGTAAGCAGTTTGATTTGTAAGCTGAGTTTCGGTCGAAGGGTGCAGTTTCGGCAGTGAAATTACAGGATAAGAGATATAACATAATAGTCCTGCAGAATGTAACACATGCGTACCATGGTCGTCTCAAACAAACGTGATATCCGCATTGCTATTTACATATACAGACGACGGTTACAACTTACCATCTGATGGGCTGTCACCTTGTTACCCTGTCATGCTCGTCATTCCACAATTAAATAAAAAATGCTCTTTATATCCAGACTCCATAAAGATATGATTTGGAACATATTGTAGATAAGTCAAAACAAATATTATATACATAATATTAACCCATGGCAATTTACACAGCGCCATCTAGCTCCAAGGTAAGCAGAGCTTGTGTAATAGTTACTAGGAAACTGCTATAAATACTTAAATTTTTCTTAAACGATATCATATTTCTCAATACAAATGTTTTTAATAATAAATAAAATAAAAGAAGTTATCATTATAATGTGCAAGATTTTATTAAGTACCTGTAGAAATGTTCTACCCTCGTCACGGAACAAATTGAAGGGCACATCGGCGTCAAGAGTATTACGTAGATCCAAAAATCCTTTGCGTGTGAGGAATTGAGCGCCTGAGACTGCACAGATTGGAGTCTTGACATCTAGAACGTAAGTATGTCCATATATCTACTATCTATCTGAAGTTTAGAAAACTCATACTCTTTGTGATAGTCTTAATAATTTCGCTGCTTAGGTGGCTTTGGGCAAATTTCCTCACCAAATGTAGATCAGATTTTCTATGCAAAAACGTTATACCTATTACATCCTGCACCTATGAAAAAATGATAACAAATCTTTTTATTGTTGCAGGATAAGCAGTTACCTACATCTATAATCAGGATATAATATCTTTATTTCAGCAACACATTTTTTTTATTACAATAAATTTTGGTCTATGTACAAATATGAGTTTTCTAATCTAATAGTTTTGTATGAACAATGTGAGTGACATAATATAGGTACAGCCAGTTACTAACATGTAATCTTACCTTTGAAGGTAATTTCTTTGGAGGGGTGGATAATTTGGCCTTTTAGTGGTAAATAGACTAATGGTATTCGTTGTTCGCTAGCTCCTGTCCCGAACGTTGCCAAGGAACATTCTGAAAACAAAATTAGAATTTCTAAATCTATAAATCAAATAGATTCACATCACAGACCAGCGATACCCTAGACGATTTGTAATTGTTGTCAGTTTTTAACCAATATCTAAATTAAAATGATTAGTTATTAAGCAACCAGTACCTGCATGTTTGATGTTAAATCATATGGTACCTAGTTGCTTCAGAAAAAAATAACATGGGATTGTAGGAGAAACTGAAGGTAATTTATATTTCCTCCTTTATATATTCCTCTGGGAAATTTTATTCATTGACCTAAGCCACTTCCATATTAATATTACAAATAGGAAAGTGTACCTTTTATTTAAAAAAAGTAAATAACACCTAGTGCAGTATAAAAAAATAGGCTAAAAGGATGTCACCAGAAAAGAAGCGGTAGACAATACTATAAAAAAAAAACTTGCACGTCTAGTTGATTTAAAATAAAAATAAAATAGTTATATAGTAAAACTAGCTGTGTTCGCGGTTTCACAGGCATAAAATTTATAGCCTATGTCTTATTCTGTGTATAAGCTATATTGCTGTGAATTTTTATCAAAATCCGTTCAGTAGTTTTTGCGTGAAAGAGTAACAAACATCCATTCATCCATCCATACTACTATCGCGCACAAATCTACTACGACATTTTTTTATTCACCTTTAAAATATTTCGAACTGTAAATATAATAATGCGCTATCATTATTATACAAGTTCATTGGACATTATATCCAGTTATACAAAAGTAATATACCTACTTATCTACTTGCATGGTGTTGCAATGAATACAGTAGATGGTATAATTACGTTCATACACTGCATTATTGCGACGGTTTTCATAGCCAGGCATTCTTATTGGGTATTAAGAACTATAACATGTAATCAATTCACAAACAATCTGCTCCTAATTCCTAGTTATTATGCTCGTAGATGCTAGCCGCTCAATAATTCAGAAAAGTCAATATAATCAAAATATCTCTTTACTAAATTAGAAAGTATTTTTTTATTTCTATCTAACACTAGTTTTTAAAATTATTTATTCCTGGCCTGGAATAAAAAATTATGCTAGGAATTTAAGACAGCTTTTCTACAACTTTCTCTTGCGTTGATTGTCGATTCTTTAGCGCGCACAAACGCACCGACAAAAATATAACAATCATTGTTTTAGTTTGTCATATAATAGTTTTTTTTTTCATATATCTTTTAGGTACAAAGTATGATTTAATTTTTGTTATAGGTATAGATTTTATACAATAGCATATGGGTTCAGTATGTAATTAAATAATATGAAGCAACAATATCCTATAAATTTAAATTTCGGTTACATATTGATTTTTTCGGTTCCACCAATATGCATCAAAGATTTTTCCATAGGTTTCTCTTTAGGTATATCATACGCAGGATTGACTACGTAATCATAAATATTCAATTTACTCACACTTCAATTCACAGTAATAAAGTATCATATCAATAAAAAGTAGGTTGTAAAATATTATAGTTTAATTTTGGCAGTTAAATCATGAAATTTATTTTGAAATAAGGTGATAGTTTTTATTAATAGAATTATGGACGTGTGAACCAATAAATAAGAGAAGGCCTCATTGATATTGCATATTGATATTAAATTGCATTGCAATATACTAAATATGAAATTAGACATGTATTTCTAAGTATCTTTTTTATGTAAGTTTTTATATGCTGTTTTAGTATCTATTTATTACGAAAGACATCCCACGTAACACATTAATATTACTTTTTTCAGTTAGAGTATAGTGGTCATAGAATACTAACGCAACAGCATACTCATGCGAGTGGCCTTTATTTTTATTTTTTTTTTAAATGAATTTTCCTTGATGGTCTCAATTAACTGACTTCATGATCATCATATCATCCTCGACTGGTGGCCGTACCGTCATATGCACTAACGATACAGGCTACAGTATATGATAATAATATTAGCATAAAGATGAAGTCAGGTCAGTTAGGCGACGTTGAAAAATTCATCAGGAATTAACCAGAATGGTTTTCAAAGATTACGTGGAGGTCGACTTGACTTGATGTATTGTTAGCCATACATTTATGGCTAACAATAGATTCTCTAATTGCTTCTTTGTCAATTTCTCAAGACAGGGTCGTCACCATCAGGAATGCGTTTTCCAAACAAATCTCTACAGGCATTTCTATCTTGTGCTAAGTGGACCGCCGACTGCATATTTCGTTTCACGGTCTTTCGAACAGAATCAATCCAACGCCCTACCTTCTTCCGTCCACGTGGCAAATTTTAATTTATTATTATTATTTTTTTAAACTTATTACTAACCGGGCAGATCGTCAACACACAGCTCTCGGTCTTCTCTAAAGAGCGGTGCTCGATGGGGGCACGTGCATATGCATCGATCGCCAGCACTAACCCTGAAGCTTGCGTCCACTTCTGCGCTGGCCCTCGCGCCGTGCTCCCCACAATGCCCCATGCCACACTCTTCATCTGAAAGATTAAAACTTAATTTAGTATTATTGAAACTATAAGTTTGAAGAATATGTTAGACCTACTATACACTGGAATCATTCGAAGATACATTTTTTTATGGATGATTATGAAATGGTGCTCCTGGCTGCGCTAGCGGTTTACGCAGGCGGAGTACCAGTAGAAGAGGATAACGTTAAAATGAAGTAAGTTAGGTCCATTAACACACTTAATTTAAACAGTTAGTAAATTTAAGTTTATATTGATCAGGGTGTGAATAAATTACATTACGTATATAATTTATTGATCCCTTTGTAATGTTCATTTATTTAAGTTTTCCTATAACTCCTAGTATATTAGTTGTTGTCTCCATAATATCAGTTCGTTTAAGCTCCAGGTCCTAACTCCGCAGCGTCTACATGAAATATCCCTTCTCTTACGCATCACGGTCCGTGTGCGCCCAGAGTTACACATACTCAACATTCAGAATTGCTATTTAATGTTTGTAAGGATTACCAGTTGATGAAAATAATTAGAACCCATGAATCCGCCACCCGTACCTGAGCAACTAACCAATGAGAGTGAAGACATCGCCGGTGTCGCGGCGCGAGACTTCGCCGTAGTGCGCACCCGCTGAGGCGATGCTCAGCAGGAGGAGCAGCGTTACGGCCATGTCACCCCGCGCCGCCAGCACCCAGCCATTCGTCTCGCAACTGCATCGCTCTCACGACCTGAAAGATAAGATTAACATATATATATATTTTACTAGCTTACTCGAGCAACTATTTCTGCATCACACTTACTTGACATTTATCGTTATATTTCACTCAATTTACATAATATCTATTTAAATATAAGAATATGACTGTAAAGTTTCATAAAAATTCGTTGAGTAGTTTTTGCGTGAAAAAGTAACAAACTCACAAACTTTCGTTTGTACTATTAGTAAGATGTAATTGGAATGACAAGCAAGCTGACGACCCACCTGATGGTAAGCGTTAACCGTCGCCTCTATATATGTACAGCACTACGGACATCACGTTATCATGTGACACCTGTGAAACTACTCATGCCTGAGAGATGTTATGCCTATACTACCGAAACAGCTTACAAAACAAGCTGCTTGGCAGCTAAAATAGGTGAAACCATGCAGACGACTTTTTACAGTGTACCTCTGATGAATATTTAACTGACTTTTGACTAACTGACTGTCAAAAGAAGGTAATACTTTTTAAGTATTGTAATAGATGTTCCTTATACATGATCCGATAATTTTTAAACATTCAGATATGTTTAAAAATTATATAAATCATAACAATAAATATAACATTGTATATCATAATTAATGTGATTTCTAAAGTATTTATTTATACTTCAATTTATACGATAAATAATTGAATCGAAAGGAGGAAGTAAGTGTCGCATCGATAAGAAATTCTCCAATTTAATAGTTAAAATCTATGAGAAGCAAAAACTTAGGTATAACTAACGTGGGTAATACTGCGTTTCGAATACTAAAAAAGTACGGCACTGTTCATATTGCCCGAGACGTTACCGGCGCATCTAATCGTCCAATTGTTACCTAATAGGTGATATTAAAATTACATTTGTATGACATTTGAATGAAAGTAATTTTGAGTGAAAATAGTACATATCTCGAAATAAATCGTAAGGCGAATGATGAAATGTAACAGCGCATAGTGAAAGCATGCACTTCGTTGCAAAAATTCATGAGCATTGTTCGATGTTGGATTTCACTCGGTTCACATGATTTCCTCTATAGCGTTGGTTACTTTATAACCTTTGAGAAAATATACTTGGCAGCACACATAGTGCTAGCTCACGCGATGATTACGAACTTTAGGTATACTTGCGTGTTATACATTTCTCATTGAAGAGTCGAGCGTTGGCACGCGTCACATTTATTGACTTTTCGTAATTCCATGTTTCCGCGCCCGCACAGCTTTTGGTAGGTGTTTATTTAACTGTCTCGTGCAAACATCACACTCTTAAACCAAGAACGGTTTAAAATATTATTGAAGTGACAATATTTTACGGTGTAATGACACTAACAAACTGGCGCAGTGGTGGGTCGGGACTTTCAGATATCCAAGGTACCTACTGTCATGATTTACGCTTTGTCAATCAATTTTGTGCAAGTAACATTATTACTGATTTTGCAATATAGGTACCAATATCTTTAGGAGATACATTATTTATTATATTCAATATATATAGTAATAGGCGATTATTTAAGTGACATGAAAAGTAGACACATTACATAAACTGTCGATATTTATCATTCTTAGACACCGCTGTAGTGGAATGGGCTATTGTTAGTGGGAAAACTAGATATTTTGGCGTAAAGAACAAAGGCCACACAGGTTTCATTTAAGTTTTATGACATGTCATTGGCGCGTCTTACGGGATTTTCTGAAGAAGAGAGGCGATTTGTGGCGCGAAATGTGCAATTTGAGGGCGAATGGCGTTTCGGTGTAAGCCTACAATGGAACCACTGCGAATGGCAGAGGTATAGAATTAATAACAAGGAAATTGTTGGTATAATAGAAAATAGTGTATTGTTTATGATTTACAGATACAAGAAGGTTCGCTTTAAAGCGGTTAATATATATTTTCCGGTATTTTATACTGTATAGGAATACCTATAAATAGATTTTGGTCGTAACTTCTTATTACGTAGAAACGATATTAATTATTATTGAGATATAGATAGACATACATATGTTTTTAGTGCGTAATATGTTGCATCCACCTGCAACCACCAATGCATCTTGCTTGCAACTGTCAATCGATCTCTTCAAGGGATACTACGTGGTGGTCGACATGATAGGTTAAACATTTTGGCTACTCTCATACCAGTTTTCATTACTAACAATCAAGATAAGTACTTACAGAAACTTAAAAAAACTACTTAAAAGTATTGCATTTCAGTCAGTAATCTAAAAACAAAAAAATCAAAACTGATTATCATCCACTGTGATTGCTTTATTTCAATAAAATTGTTTCATAAATGGTAGGTAGATACGATAATTGTGTTGTGCTCATGACAAACCGTTACCAATAGACGGCTGTACTCCATGTAGTAGGCATGTACAGATAATGATCACATATCAGTTTAATGCTTGATTGATATTAAGAATTCTTAAAATGTTTTATGTTTTACGATCGCGTCGATATAAGAAATAATGATCATGGTAGACTTTAACACTGCTATACCAACGGAACTCTCAGTTATGTCGGCAAAATTATATACATTACACTGTTCCTACTGCCTACTTTACAAAGTTGTTTACCACTTATTATTTTAGACATTTATTATATATTATTATAATGAATAAGAAACTGAAGAAGCTAGGTACTCATGCGTTAAGATATTAATATATTGACGGTTACGGGAATGCATATATTCCCGTAACAATATGTGCTACTAATAAACACAATTTAATATTTTCTATAAGTAGGTATAAAATAATTAACCACATGCATTCTAGTAATAATTTGGCATTCTTTCTATAAAAAAAAGTACTTATACCTATTTAATTGTGTTTCTGTCACCGTTAACTTAATTTACAAATCAAATAATTTTACGACTTCTTACGACTCTTCTATTTTTTACGACTACCATGAAAGTACCGCGAAGTGCCTAGTGATCCGGCAGAATACAACTGTAATTGAAATTAAATGGTAGTATAATGTCAATTAAAATGAAATAAAAATCTTATATCAATTTTATATACGTAGGCGAATGGATGTCAGATATATCGCTATTTTCATAATGTATCTATTCAGACACACTGAACCACACGTAACGTAAAATTATCTGAATTAAATCGGTTGCAGATATAGAATGGCGGTGAAAATATTTGTAGATTATTTCGCAAGAATACACAGTGACGATCTATCCCATTGAAAATTTGTTTATTTAACAGTGTTAGTCGTATAGGCGCTATGCCCGTAAGCGTAATATTTAGTAGCTAAGAGTAAGCTAAGCGTAATATTTAAAAAACTATATTACTTCAAAGAAGATTTGCGATAATGACTATTGATGTTTTTATAGTTTATCTGATAGAACGTATTCAAATTTGATTCTTGATAATTTGATTCAATTTCATGAAATTTCGTGAAAAGCAGGATTTGATCTAATCGATGTATTCCGTAGGTACTTACAAATACTTAAAAAATGTGAAATACTTAAAGCAAGAACAATACTTAAAAACAATTTGTAGTTATTAACGTATTTCACATAATAGAATCATTTCATTTTCAATAAAGATAATCGAAAAATATAGAATATCACACTGTTATTGATAAAAGCTACAATTTACGGAAAACATAATGAAACTCATTACAAAATCGAGGCCTTAGGCGCCGGGGACTGCCACCGGTCAAACTAGTTAATTATTCGATATTATTTAGTTCTAATGTCGAGTTCTTCATAATACTTATGAAGATGAATGACTACTATTCTTAAGATTCCAACTATGGTATACGCGATAGCCTCCAGGTCAATAAATTGAGCTTCACAGCAATTTTATTATGTAGTTCGAATACTTTGAGTTTTAACAATATACATTTCTACTTGGAGCTTAACATATTTTTTATATTATAGGGTGCGTAGTAAGCTCCGTTTTTGTATGTAATATAATAATTATATCTGTATGTAAGTACAGTTATTTGATTGCTGTATTTTAGTGGAATTATTATCAATGTAAACATTGCTCGAGGTATCTATTTAATATTATTAGCATTGATAAGTGCATATAATCAGGAGTTAGATTCAAATTAGGAGTTCTAACAATTACATGCTTATGCACAGGCAATAAAAATGTACGTACATTTTTTTTTACTATTAGATACGTACTTTGGTTGTAACTTTTTTTATTATATTTATATTGTTACGTAATGCAATATGCAATACAGCGTTTCATCATTAAATATTTTCTACTTTACTCTTGTGAATGCGAATCATATTCATATAACTTGTGTGAATTCAATATGTATTACTAGTGTTATGTAATTTGATGTGAAATCGATAGCATATAACCACAACATAACAAAGTCATATACTAAAATATTTTATAAAAATCGATATAATTGTACCATAATAAAGTCGTACCTGGAAATGAATTTTCCATAATTTTATTACGGTATAATACAGTATATTAGGGCGATGTATATAAGATAGGTACTTTCAAAATAAACGACCTAATCATGACATCTAAATTTATTAATGCTAACAAACGTGACGCGTAATATTTGTCTTAAATTTAAAAATGCCTACGCAGTCATATATATTATTTATTTTTTCCATGCTCTACGTACCTATATCTCTACCATACGTGTGAAAATTTTGTCATCAAACTTACGAGTCCGAAAGTTTTCACACGTGAGTATTTTCTTATTTGTTAAATTGCTCATAAATCTAATTTAACGCGCCATTAAATGTTTGTAAATTAGACGGGATATTTTAAATAATAATTAACTACTCAGTGTCATATTTTATGAGTTTTGTTTTAGTGCTACATATGTACATATATATACAAAATTTAAAAAGTGTAAAGGAAACGACATTGAAACAAAAGGAACTCAAGAATATAATAAACATTTCCACTTATTTAACTTGCAACATTAGCAATTACGACTATCAAAAATGTTATTAAATATAATCCTTCTAATTTATTTTGACTTACCTACTTAATTGGACCGTAGT